CCCAATCAAACAACATGTAGTGCACGCTCAAAAATGTTAAATGTTGCAATAGCTAAAAATAAGAAATTGAATATATTCCAGACTGTCAATCACTCAAGAATTATCTGGGACTCCAAATTAAAACCGAGTGGTATTTTAGTAGGGCACTTAAATATCAGAAGTTTTAAATCTAAAAGTGATCAAATCCATCAGCTTTTATTAGACTCGAATCTGGATTTCTTGTGTTTAACAGAGACCTGGCTTAATGAAAATCCACCCTCATCAGCTTTATTTGTTCCTGGTTATAAGGTGCATAGAAAAGATAGAGTGGGCTCAAAAGGAGGAGGAGTTTTAATCTATGTAAAAGATCGCTTTCAATGCCAGGAGATACAGTGGTCATGTAATGAACTAGAGTGTATTGACTTAACATAACTTTATCTTCATCAATGTCTTTCTCACTTATTACACTATATCGCTCTCCATCCTCTAAGAATATATTTTACGAACATCTCGAAAGTATGTTAAAGGAATGCAATTTTAATAAGGAGGTGATTATTATGGGAGACTTTAACATCAATTGGGAAGACAAATCGGTAAGGAAAACATTAAAACAGATCACTGACGACTGTGATCTTACACAGTTGATAAATGGGCCAACCAGAGTAACATCTTCTACAAGAACACAAAAAGACCTAATATTTAGCAATCAACCAAAGCGAATTGTTAAATCCTTTAATATGCTGACCGGACTATCAGACCACAATATGATCTTCCCAGCAAACACATGACGTAACGACGACCAAAAGTAACGTCAGTATTGGTCGTTGGTTCGTCGCGTCACCAAAAGACTATGCCACGACTATGTGGCAACGTCATCAGAAGGTAGTCTTGTGACCACATCGCTTGGTCGCTTCCTTACCTTCCCACAACGTTGTCTAAAGACCAGGTGATGACCAATCATTTTCTAACCTCCTCACCACGTCTTAGCCACGTCATTTCTAGACTTAAGCAGTTCGAAATTGTTTTCAGATGTTTTATATTTACAGGTGCTGGTAATATAATTAGAACATCATCAAAAAGTTGATTTATATCACTAATTTCATTCAAATAGTGAAACTATATAGTATAATTATATTTAATTATATATATATATATATATATTATTTATTATTTATTATTTAAAAATGTTATCCATTCACCTGTAGTGTCTCACTTAAGACTCATTCAAGTCATACAGATTTCAACAATTTCCCTTCAGTACAGTAGGGGGCAGTATATGCAACTCAAACGCTTGCAGCGAAGAGCTTCCGTTGCTGGTGTATAAGTCCCGCCTCACGAACGTGCGCGGATTGTGTTTGAATTTTCACTTTTCACTTTTCGTATCCTTTGACTATCTTCTAGTGTTTTATTTTACACACGTTTCTATCTTTTCAGTTTATAGTTACTTAACGTTACAGCAGTACTTTTAAACATATCAATCGAAGAAAGAAGAAATACACCATTGCTTCACGACGAAACACAGGTAAGTGTAAAAACAACCCGCCGTAAGGGTCCCACACGTTCTCTGAAGTATTATTAACCAGGATCTCTATTTCAAATGTAGTTTTTAAATGGCTTTTTAACTAGTTAGGTTTAATTGTTGAGTAGACAGTGTTGCGTCTGTAAACTTTTCTGTTTATAGAACTAGACAATCACCTAACTTTGTTTTGAACATCTTTTCAAAAACATCAATTGGCTACCATGTCTTTACACAACAAGTAAAGTATATTTATATAACGTTAGCACTTTTCACAATTTAGCATAGATTGCATCAAAGCAGTTTCACAGTATCAATCAAAACAACATAACAATGGTTCTTTCTTAGTGGAAAAACAACATATGGTCTCAAGCGGATTTTGCTTTTGCTTATTTTATTTCCAAACCATACTTCTTCTTTTTTTTACAATATTAGGGCCAGTGCTTGAAGTTGGAAAAATAAGGTGCCGGTACTCTCTTGCATTGGCAAATCATAACATTTAAAATTTATGCAGTGAAGAACAAAACTTGGAAATATTGCTGGTACAACAAGAATTTATTGTTATTTATGAACTACATACATTAATTTTAACAAGTAGTGTGTGTGCGTGCATTTCTTTACAAAGAAATCATCTTTTAAGAAGTTGGTCATTTCATAAACTTGATTCTTGAAGTTTGTTAAGATTGGAGGTATACAACAATGGCATGTAAATGGTAAACAAAACAACGAAGAAAACCGCTCTGATATTGCCTTTTCAGTCATACTTCGATTTGTTTACAGCAAACATAAAAAAAAGTACACTCAGGATTGATTTGGGCATGTACCTGTCTGTGTAGGCTATTACATTAACTAAAAGAACTTATATTCTGACTAGTTCGCTCGTTTTATTTATTTATAAAACATATAGTGTTACCCAAACTGAATAATTAAGACAAGTTTAAATGGCTACATTTTTGTATAAATATTTTTGAGTCTTCGTTTTCTTTTCTGATGTAGCCTATTCTAGTTCTTGTTAAAACACACTAATTGCAAATTCTGTGCACTTTGGGCACTTTTTGTGTCAAATCCTATTTATTTTCTCCTTCAACAGTGTGCTTTCACTTTAAATGTGCGTAGCACAACACAAATAGACTCGGCCCGAACCCCCAGTTCACTGCCGCTCACGCGCCACTCCTCCGCGCCCGCGCTGTGTGAAAATGCACTCACTGATTAACATGCAAACCAAAAAAAAATACGCACTGATCACGCTTCACAAAATACGTGGTGGACACGATCAGCTTCGGTAGCCTATCGCAGCCGCAACGCGCCGCAGATGTGCAGTGTAAATAAGGTGTTAAACAGCCGTCACACTTTTTCTGTCAGTGGTAGAGTACCGGCTACATGCAAGAAGTAGTGGTACGCAAGAAACAGTGCAGGTACGCATAAGAGAAAAATGTAGAAGTGCTGGTACTGCGTACCGGTGAGTACCGCCCCACTTCGAGCACTGATTAGGGCATTGTAGTTACATGGAGTTTTAGGTTATCTGGTTAAACTGGTGTCATAAAATTTGATTGTATTTTAGGATGAAGCCAAGTCGGAGAATCTATTTACAGTCCTGGAGAGCTACCAGACGCACTCTCCAAAACCTCCATGCAAGCCAGGCAGAAAATGCACGTGCAAGCCAGACAGAGAATCTCACTCACCAAAACCCTGAGAGCCTCAATAGAGACGCATTCATGGCATGTGATGAGAGAGATGGAGATGGAATTGTAATGGACGACGTGTCAGATTTGAAGAGAGATAAAAGCGTGAATGAAGACAATTTGTTTGAAGACGGTGTGCATGAGTCATGTGATGGGCACAAAAGTGGTATGGAGTCACCCTGCAGTGACTCAGTAAGCAGTGACTCAGACCTCGACAACCACTCTGATGGCACATTGTTTGAAGCCCTTGCAGCTTGGACCAGTGAGTTCCAGGTGAAGCACAATGCTGTGGATCGCTTACTGAAATTGCTGCAAAGCCATGGTCATCCACAACTGCCATCCACTGCCCGTACACTTCTGAAAACACCTAGAGAAGTGAAAACTGTGGAGAAGTCTGGCATGGTGAGTCTACACTACCAATTGAAGGAGAAACTAGTTGAGACCCTGGATCGTTACCCAGTTCAGCTTGTGAGTGATCTTGAGACTCTGGAGCTGTCCTTTAATGTAGATGGACTGCCTCTCTTCAAAAGTTCTGGGAAGTCTATGTGGCCAGTCCTCTGTGCTGTAATGCTTAGTCCAGTAACTATTTTTCCCACTACACTGACTTGTGGGTTGAAGAAGCCAACTGACCTTGGCTTCTTGGAGGACACAGTGAAGGACCTAGCTGAGATCTTAACAAATGGCCTGGACTACAGAGGGAGGAACATTAAAGTGACGGTTAGGTGCTTTGTGTGTGACGCCCCAGCCAGAGCAATGATTAAGAACACCAAATGTTACTCGGGGTACTATGGATGTGAGCGATGCACACAACAAGGATTATGGTTAAATCGAGTCACATACCCGGAGACATCTGATTTAGAGCTGCGTACTGATGCATCATTCAGAGCTCAAACACAGCCTGAGCACCACCATGGCAACACACCACTGTCTGACCTTCCAATTGACATGGTTCAGAGTTTCCCCATTGACTATATGCACCAGGTCTGCCTTGGCGTCACAAAGAAGCTGCTCTATATTTGGTGCAGAGGCGAAAAGGGGATGCGGATATCTGCCAGCCAGGTTCAGGAGTTGAGCAGCAGGCTGCTAATGCTGAAGTCATCAATCCCCTCGACTTTTGCACGCAGTCCTCGAGGTCTGGATGAGCTTGAACGATGGAAGGCAACTGAGTTTCGCCAGTTTCTGCTATACACAGGGAAACTGGTGCTGAAAGGTGTCTTAAGAGAGGACCTTTACAACCACTTCCTGACATTGAGTGTTGCTGTTGGGTTGCTGGTTTGTCCAACACTGGTGCAGCAGTACCATGACTATGCTCACCAACTACTACAATACTTTGTAGAGAAAGGCTGTGAACTGTACGGGCACACCTTCCTGGTCTACAACATACACACCATGCTGCACCTGTCAACAGATGCAGTTTGCTTCAAAGGCCTGGACAACTGCAGTGGTTTCATGTTTGAGAACTACCTCCAGGCCATTAAGAAGATGGTACGATCTGGAAAAAGTTCCCTGGCTCAGGTAGCAAACCGACTGGAAGAGAGTCTGAACCGGCCAATTAAACATCAAAAAAAGAGAACTTCTAAAAAAAGGAAGGACCAGGCATACTATTTGGAAGATGGACATTGCTGTGAAGTTGTGGATCATGTACAAAAAGAAGGAAAGGTTAAATGCATAGTCTACCGCCACCCTGAACCTCTTTTCTCTCAGCCATGCAGTTCGTTTTTGATTCGGGTGTTCCAATACCACAGGAGGAACACACTGATGAAGAGGATTTCTACAACAGAACTCTGGAGGAGCGCCATACTAGTAGATTGGGGGCAGATTACAACTTTTATGGCAGTTCTACATCAGGTCTGAAGAAAGTTGAAAATGGATCTGAGGGATTAAGACCAAGGGGAAAGTCTTAGCCCAAAGGCTGAATCATTTAAAGACTCAAATTTTTAAAAACAAATTATTTCTAAATAAACACGACAGTGTATCAAAGGCTCGATTACCTTTTAGCTTCCGTTACGTCACCGTAGCTGCTGTTTTTGAAAAAATAGACTCATACCCCTGTGACTTCGTGCCAGGCAGTGGGATATACCTTGATGCTTAAAAACTGTTTCTGCAAAGGAAGGTCTGGACTCTGAATATTAAATGAAGAAATGAAGCTCGGAAATGGTAGCTGGGGGCTTAAGACTGTGCAGGACACACCTGACTTTAAATGGGATTAAATTACAGTGTTGTGGTTGTCTCATTTCTAGGTAAATGCATATGATTACCTCGGACAGGAATATGTCCGTGATCATTGAGATCGTCTATTCTTTCTAATCAACAGTATGTCTTACATCGTTGTTGAATTCCTCAGTGAAGGGAGTGTAGCTGTGGTGGCTAAATGTTGGACGTATAAGGAACAAACGGTATTTTATCAAATCATTGGCTATCGACTATTTTCTGGGGGTGTACTGTACTTTGTAAAATACAGTGCTCATTAAATATTTTTCATGAATTTCAGGATGACTATTGTTACTGGCCTGCATGCAATCCGACAGCCAGAGCACGAAGGGGGGAACAACCTGATCCTGATACTTGGATTTCAAGGAAAGTCAAGGTGTTTAGTGGTGTTACAGGTACAGTTGTATTAATTTCTTGTTCTGTTTTTGCTGTGCATGCTCAAGTAATTTTTTGAAAGCTGTTAAAAAAGCAAAATACATTGCATAATGTAGAATACTTGTAAATGTTTAAACTAATCCTATATTGTTTGTACTTTCCTAATGTTAACATTTCTTTGTAGCTGACTTCAACCAGGCACTGCGGTGGTTGAAAAAGGCAGAAACAATGTCAAGCGTGGAAAGTGCAGATGATGGGGCTGTGCTCTCAAAAAGGCCATCAAAAAGGCCAGCAAAATTTGCTTACAGCAGTGATGAGGGTATTTGCATTTCCATGCAGTTATTTATTGCATGCTGTATCCCTGACTGGTTTGTTGTCTGGAGTAAATTGTATGCTTTTTAGATGAAGACTTTGCTGAACAGGTCCTCCAAATTAATAAGAAATCCAGAGGTATGATATTAAATAATTGTTCAATATTTCTTAAGAGTACCATGCTTCACAAGACTCCCCTCTATAAGAAAATCACTAGCATAACATAACATAACATAACATATTTGGAAATCATTAGAGACGGTCCCATAAATGAATGATTAACCAAAGTATCTTGGTAATATGCATCATCTAGGTTTGTTCCATGGACCACGAGAGGTGCCACCTTCACGGAAATCTTCTGCAGGGCCAACACACCCTCCACCTCCCATCTGCATTTTTCCGCAGACAAACACTATAAACAGTAAGTTAACAAGTGTTGCATAAGGTTTGTCAAATTGTGCGGATCTGTATTAAAATATACGTTGCCATTTTTTATTTATTTACACAGACCTTGATGATCCAGTTAGTCCTATTCAGCCTGAGATGTCTGATGGTATGATTTATATTCTTATTGTTGGTTTAATGACTTTGAAAATTGTGTTTATTTGTAAGTGTTAGTTATCAACATGTTGACACACAAGAAATGTAGCCAGGTGATTTGAACTTTGGTAGTTTTGGAACTTTGTTTTATAAAATGCTGAACCTAAGTGTTGAGTTTAATCGCTTGCATTTTCTATTGCAAATGTGCACACAGAAACTGCCAGCTGCTCCTCGAGTGTGTCAGACTCTATCTCCGCCTTAACCCAAACGGTTACAGTAATACAAGGTATGTTAATTTTTATTGTGGGTACACTTCTGTCATTGTGGGTACAAGTTGTTCAGTCATGTAACTGCAATGTGTTATCTTTGCACTTTGTACGTTTCTGACCTTCATTTTAATGTCTTTGAAATATTTTGTGTTTCTGAAACAGAGACACTTAAGACAATGTTGACCCGCCAGGATGTGATGTCAAAAAACATCCAGGAGATACTTCTCCGGTTAAACCAGATTGGAGGGGCCAGACCGGGTCCGGAGACCCCAATAGAAATCGATGTGGCCCAGTCTTTGGAAGAACTTGCTGTCTTGGAGGCAAAACTGAAAGACCTTCCGGACTACAAGAAGAGATTGGTGGGTAATGGTTTAAACATAAAGTATCTTTTATATAGAGCTAAATATTTACCGCATTACTGATTTTTAATTTTCTGTATTTCCTCTGTGTAGACACACCATCTCAGTCTGATTGGTGGAGCCAACCCGGGAGAAGTTACAAGCATATCATGCGGGCTGTTGCTTCTAGCGGTGTCTGGAAAAACTACAGCCTTCATGGGAAGAAGGGGAAAAAAACATTGCTGCATACAGCAGTGTACCAGGTTATCAAACGTGAGTTTAATATTTGGTAATAATTGTGTGGATGTTCCACAGCACAAAAAATTGATTTATGCTTGTCTAAACATTTTCTGCTTTAGAATTGGTTCATGTTTTAAAATATAGCTTGCTGTTTTCAAATCTAAAAGACAATATCAAAATGCCCTTAATATATGAAGAGTTCAGATGCAAAAGCCTCTAAGTGCCATTTGAAATTTTCTTCTAGAATGATCATTTTTATCAAGCTTGTATATTTAAGTTCAGTGATTTCACTTAAATGGCAATGATAATCACCTATTAATTGGTATTTAAGTGAAATTGCTGAACTTAAATATACAAGTTTGATAAAAATCATCATTAAAGAAGAAAATTTCAAATGGCATTTAGAGGCTTTTGCATCTGAACTCTTCATATATTAAATGAGTCCACCACTTGTTTTGTAAAACATTGTAATCACACAAGAAATAAAAAATTAAAAAAAAATGCATTCTACACAACAGGGGCTATCATGCTGAGTCGATCCGGACTACAGGACAAAGCTGTGGAGGAACTCGTCACAAATGTTTTAAAACATGCCCCAGCCCACAGTAAACTGCAGGTACAAATATACACTTCTTGTGAGCATTTCACTTAAAAGACTGTGGCAATTGACTATTACTTGTAGGGATGGACCAATACCACTTTATGGAATGAGTATAGTATTTCATTTTTGCACTTGCCAATAGTGTGTACAGTGTACCAATACAAAATCTTGACATTGAATCTTGAAGTTCTGTTCACTCAATTTATTTAAATTGTTTGTCTAGGTGCAGTCAGTCCCAGAAGTGGCGGTCCAGCAACAGGACAATAACCAGCAATTGACGTGAAGACCTTTTTAAAGTGTTTTAAATAGTGTGTTAAACTTTTTTTTTTTTTTTTTTTGCTTTAATGTACAGTTGTTCATTTTTTCTCATTTGTTTTTAAAGTATTTTAAATAGTGACATTTATTTTTTTTGCCTTTTTTGCTTTAATGTATAGTTGTTCATTTTCCCCCCAATTTGTTATAGTGTCTATTCAATTATGTTCAATAAAATCTGCAAAAACACTTTTCAGTTTTTTCAATTATTCTACATGTTTTTTTTTAACATGTTTAACATTAACAATAGTGAATGTTTAAACATGTTTTTACCAATTGTTTGAGTAAAATGTCACAATTTGAACAGTAAAGCTACTTGAAACAAACAAGTTCTGAACAAGAACCACAATTATAGATGTTGCTGTGGCAGTAGTGGCAGGTAAATGGTTGTCAATAAAACCACTGCAGAATGAATATATAATGAAAAAGTCATCAAATGACCAATCCGCGACCAATAACACGGTCGCAAAGTGACGTACTGAAGACGTACTGAAGACGTTGTCGCGTTGTCGGTTGGCGACGTCGTAGCGACATCTTTTGGTGTTTCACTTTGACAGTTGTGGCGACGTCATATGCTAACGTAAGTGTGACTAAAAATGACCAGCACGTGACGTCGTCACAACGTAATATTGTTTGCTGGGTTAATAGCCAGGAAGCTAACTAACAAGCGTTTCACTCCATTTGTCCAAGAACAAGAATCTTCAAATATCCCCAAAAATATGCAGGGCCAGTTTACAAGTGCCATCCAGAGCATTAGCTGGGATAACATACTTTTGGGAAGATCATTGGACGAAGATAGTCAAAGATTTACACAACAACTGCAGAGATCAATTGATGCATTTACATGCAGACATGCATAGGAAAAAAAAGAACACCATTCCTTGGATAACCACAAATATTTTAAATTTAATGAAAAAACGCGATATGGCTTTAAAATCTGCAATCAAATCTAAAGCAACCAGTGATCGACATATTTTTACTATGCTACGGAATAGAGTAGTCAAAGAGATAAGGATAGCTAAAGCAAATTTCTTCTTGACCATAATTGAAAAAGCAGGAGGTAATACTAAAACTATTTGGAGCCAATTAAGAAAATTAATGGGACATAATGGTAACAATGCCAAAACAGTTGAACATGTTTTAGTTGGTGGAAAATTAAGAGATAAGCCAGCTGAAGTAGCTGATGCTCTCAATAATTATTTCATTGATTCAGTAGAAAATATCAGCAAGTGTTTTTCTTCTGAATATAAAAATACTCTGGGTCAAGTAGAACAAACAGAGCAAGCTTTCAACATAGAATATATCACTGAGGCCGATGTAGTGAGAGTGATTAGATCTCTTAGGCCATCTCGAGCGAAAGATGTCATTGGAATGAACACTGTTATGTTGAAAGAGCTCTCTAAATTATTGGTATACCCAATTACGAAAATTGTTAACCTTTCAATTGCTCAGGGATCGTTCCCAAATGTGTGGAAGTTGGCTGCAGTTTTCCCTGTGTTCAAAGGAGGTGATCGTTTGTCCGTCTGCAACTATAGACCAATTAGTATCCTGCCGGTGGTTTCCAAGGTGGCTGAAAAACTTGTCTCAGAACAAATGATAAATTATTTAAATACCAGTTCCTACTCTCTACATCCATATCAATTTGGCTTCCGTACTAATCACTCAACAGAAACAGCCAATTGCAATTTCGTTGAAAAAGTCAAAGCACAGTTGGATCGAGGAGGGGTTGTTGGTGTTGTTTTCTTAGATTTAAAAAAAAGCATTTGACACCATTAATCATGGAGTTCTTTTATCTAAGTTAAAAACTTTTAATTTTGATACAGGCACTATTAAATGGGTGGAATCTTATTTAACACAACAGACTCAATTTGTTAGAGTTAGGAATCATCAATCAAGTATAATTTCCTTACCTACTGGTGTCCCACAGGGCTCTATTCTGGGTCCACTTTTATTTTCGTTGTATGTAAATGACTTGCCAAATGTTTGCCCTGAGGTCAATACCCAAATGTATGCAGATGACACAGTAGTCTTTGTACATGCTAACAGTGCTGCTCAAGCTGCTGATCTGCTATCCAAATCAATGCAAAAGATCACAGAATGGTTAAATCAAAATTGTCTTCAACTGAATATATCCAAAACTGTATGTATGTTTTTAAGTAAATCTAAAAGCCGCTGTGTAGAACCTGATATAGTCGTAGCAGGAGAGAGAATACAAGTTGTCTCAGAGTTTAAATACCTTGGAGTTTACATAGATAACAATCTTACATTTAAATCACACATTAAGAAGGTTTGTAATCACATTAAGTATAACCTGGCAAATTTTAGATATGTCCGTAGCTGCATGTCAAAAAGGGCTGCCATGATGTTCATGCACTCCATGATTTTATCTCATATCACCTATTGTTTGACAACCTGGTCACAAGCTAGCAACACTTCTCTCAAACCACTGTTATCCCTATATAAGAAAACTCTCAAAGTACTTGATAAGAAATCTATATATTATCATCATTGTCATGTTTTAAAAAAATATAATCTATTGAATTTCGAAAACTTGATTATATACGCAGATCTCTGTCTTGTGTATAAAATTTTGCATGGACTGGCTCCTCCTGTATTGTGCCAGTTTGTGAGCACAGCAGCACCAAATGCTCTCAGATCTACAAGGAGTGCAGCAAGAGGTGACTGCATTGTCCCGTTTAGGAAGAGTGCACTTGGTCAAACAGCTTTTTCAATAAGGGCAGCTCGTGAATGGAATCTCATTCCAATTCACATTAGGAATTTTAAATCTTACGTTTCTTTTAAACATAACTTAAAGAAATGGTTAATAGATAGTCAGGACTGTTTACATTACACTTGACATGAAATTTTGCTGCTGCACTGTTTCTTGTCCTGCCTTTTTATTTATTTTTTTTGTCTTTTGTTGTTAATCTTTATTTTTATTAGTCTGTTTGCTTGTCTGTGTCTCCTGTGCTATGCCAATACGGTTGGCTGGCTCATTGTTTTCTCTTGTGTTTAGATAGGGGAAACCTTTGACATTAGTTATTGTCCTAGATATATTGTTTTTATGGTTTTTTTGTTGTTGTTTTTTTTGTTTTAGGTGTGACATCAAGATCTGTCCAGGGACAGCAGATGTAAAATAGCCTACTGGCTAATTCTGGCACACTGTACATTTAATCATGTATCATTAGTGTGCATTGTCCCTGTTAAATAAACCTGAAATAAATAAAAATAAATTGCGTTATCGCATCGGTATCGTAAGGAGTGTGCATTAAAAAAAAGTAAAGGCTCGGTTTTTATGTTGACTAAGTGTCTTTGAGTGATGTGCCTTGCATTTTTTTATTCACCTGTTCATTTTCTATTCATTGTAATTATAAAACAGTTCAATGGGGATATGATGTGTGCAAGTGATAGGCCTACATTCAGATTATTATAATAAAAAAAGGCCATCAGTGCTATAAAAAGGCCTCTCATCAACTGTCAATGAAAACTGATGTGTGCCATGCTCAGGTGAGAAGTCCAGGGAGAATAAGAATGGCTGCTTTAGCATCACAAAAGGAGCTCTCACAAAGAGATCATGCTGATTTTTGAGCACAGTGCCAGCCAACTGCTGCAGGGACAAAGTGTAAGGGTTGGGGACAAAGTGTTAGACATTAGCTTTGGCTAGCTATGACTGAACATAAAATGTTGGAGCTGTAGATTTATTACTATCATTGTAAAAATGTACAAGAGAAACACTATGCTTTAATCACACTGATTACAATATTCAGTGACAAACCATGGATATATGAAGCCAAAAAGTACCAAAATGACTTTCACGTAATCACGTCTTTTCAATGAAATTTACAATATTGTCTTCAGAAACTTGATAATGAATGGATTCATGTATGAAATGCTATAATATGAACAAATTTATTTCAAGAGAATTTACAAAATCAAGTTGAAACTCTAATGGCTCGTTTCCACTGAGTGGTAGGGTTCGGTACAGTTCGGTTCGGTACGCAATTATTTGCGTTTCCACTGTCAAAACTTGTGAATGGTACCAAAAAGCCGAACCGTACCGTACCACTTTTTGGGTACCCTTCCGTTGGGGTACCTAGCACAGTGAAAAGGGTACTAAAAGGTGGAGCTAGACTCACTGCAGAACGGTGATTGGTGGACAGAGTATCGTCACTCGCGCGTGCTACAAGGGCATTAGAAGGTATACTGTTATTGTGTCACGAAATGTAGTTTTAAGAGTTTTTCAGGCGAGAAAGTATTTTTTTTTAAAGCTGAAATCTGTGGTTTATTTATAGATTTATGATAATTTGACTGAGATCCACTCCAAGCGATCACCGGATGCTCGCGCTCATGTCCCCCGCCTGGAACAGCCTTTCCTCGGCTAGTTGTTCTGATGTTTGCAGCTGACTCGGATGGCTCTGTAGTGGTTAAACATGAGATATAGTTCGTCTTGTATAAACCTAACAGGTGATCTTTGGTCTCATGAATCTATAATCCGTTCCCTGGCCAATAGTTTTGGCAGAAGGCTACATGAAGTTTCATATCTTTGAGCGCTGAATTTGTATTTTTGACTGACTGAATTGTTTCTTGATGTTATTTAAGCTTTACTGTATATCTTTTTGTACCTTTTACTTATACTTTTATAATGGCTATTATTGATAAAACTGAAATTCAACAAAAAGAGATAGTTTTGTCATTTTTTTATTTTATTACAAGATCATCTGTAATGTTGTTTATTGCAACATTTGTACCAATGCGATATGCAATACATTACATTACATATTGCCTGGAATATGTTTAATATTTTTTTAAATTTAAACGAAAAGAGGCAGGGCTGTTTTATATTTAGTTTTGTCATAAATATATAACGTTACATAGGCTACATGCAGAATATTCTCAATAGGCTATGCGTTGCCTGAACCAGATTTGTGTGCTTTAGAATGTTTAAAATGTATTGAAATGAAATCGAAAAGAAGCAGAGTGGTGTTTTATAACATATTTCGTTTTATTGTTGCCTAAAATCAAAACATACAGAGATAAC